CCAGGCCCCGGGCCATGCCCTGCACAAGGAAGAAGAGAGGAAAGGAGAGAGACTCGGAAGGGCTTAGCAATGAATAAATAAAATCGTTTCTTTTCCATCGTTGGAGATGGAACTCAAGGTCTTCACACTGAGCTAAATTCCCAGCTCTTTTTAATTTTTATTTTGAGACAGGGTCTTGCTAAGTTGCCCAGGCTAGGCTTGCAGTCCTCTTGCCTCAGCCTCCCAGAATGCTGGGATGACAGGCGTGCACCACCGCACTTGGCTCTTGTATCGTCCAGCAAAAGTGAGAGTGACGGCTCAGAGCGGGGTAGTGGCAGTGCGGGTCAGGCGGGCCTGGGCTGCAGTCAGTTTCCCGCGCGCTCCTCAGATGGACCTGTGGGGAGAGTCTGGTGGTGCCACCAAGAGGCACCCACAGTCCTTGTCTTGCAGGGCGACTCGGGGGGCCCCCTGGCCTGTGAGGAGACCCCGGGTGTGTTCTACCTGGCGGGAATTGTGAGCTGGGGCATCGGCTGTGCCCAGGCCAAGAAGCCCGGTGTGTACACGCGCATCACCAGGCTGAAGGGCTGGGTCCTGGACGTGATGTCCTCGGGGACCCTGTCCCCGTCGCCTCCATCCACCAGGAGGACGCCAGCCACCACCGGCCACCCCCCCAGGTCAACCACCAGCCTCACGGCCCTGGGGGTCACCACCAGCAGGCCCTCCACACCCAGGGCCACCAGCCGGGGAACTGTCCCCCCTGCCAGCACCGTGTCTGCTGCGGACGCCACCACTAGGGGACAGATGCCACTTCCGGGTGCCCCAGAGACCACCACGCCCTCCCAGCTGCCAGGTGCCATGAGAAATGGGGGGCAGGGGAGGGTGGCAGTGTCCAGGTGAATCTGTGTGGGCTGCAGTGAGAAATTCACAGCCAGGAAAAAAAAAAAAAAAGAAATTCACAGCCAGGCGGCTGAGATGACATTCACTTCTCACAAGGTCAATGTTGGAGTCACGGAGCAGCTTCCTTCTGAGGCCCTTCTGCTTGACTTGGACACAGTGTCCTCTCCCTGTGTCCTCACACGGTTGTCCCTGTTGTATAGCCCACATTGGCCTTGAACTCTGGATGCTCCTG